GTTAGAGGTATGCTTGTAATACCACCATACTTCTAATAAAGCGTACGATGAAATGATAAGAATTATTTCAGCCTGCGCAGGAACCACCTATCTGCATTTGTTTCTGGAATACAAATGTTTTTGATCTAAGTCTGGGCCTAGGAGGCACTTCATGAAAACGGTACTCGTGTCTCTAAAACACCTGTGAGTTGATTATGGCCAGACTGACTTCTGTGTTGACGTTAGAGAAGAAGCATTTAAGGAAAAGGTAACTTTAAATTATGGGTTTCGGACAAGAGGTGTCAGGACCACATGATTTTATTTTTGTTTTATTTTACTTTATTTTATTTACTTGTTTTATCATGGTAAGAACACATGAGATTTACCTTCTTAACAATTTTGTAAGTGTACAGCCCAGTATTGTTAACGGTGGGCACAATGTTATACAGCGGGTCTTCAGAACTTACTCAATTTGCATAATTGAAACTTCATGCCTGTTGATCAGCAGCTCCCCATTTGTGCCTCCTCTCCAGTCCCTGGTAACCACCATTGTACTCATTGATTCTATGAGTTTGACTCTTTTGGATTCCTCACTTAAGTGGAATCACGCAGTATGTGTCTAATGACTAGCTTATTCTACTTAGCCTAATGTCTTTAACATTCATCCGTGCTGCCCTGTATTGCATTATTTCCTACTTTTTTAAGGCTGAATAATATCCCATTGTATATCTATGCACCACACTTTGTTGTTGTTTTTTTAATTTTTTTTAAATTTATTTGTGAAGGAGAGAGAGAGAGCATGAGCGGGGGAGGAGCAGAGAGAGAGGGAGACACAGAATTCAAAGCAGGCTCCAGACTCTATGCTGTCAGCACAGAGCCTGATGCGGGGCTCGAACCCATGAAACGTGAGATCATGACCTGAGCCGAAGTCGGACCCTCAACCGACTGAGCCACCCAGGCGCCCCTGCACCACACTTTGTTTTTCACTCATCCATCGATGGGCATTTAGGTGGTTTCCATGTCTTGCTACCGAGAATAGAGCTAGGGCAAACAGTGGGGTGCTAATATCTCTTTGATTCTATTCTTAGTTCTTTTGGATAAATACCCTAAAGTGGGATTTCTTGAACACATGGTAGTTCAGGTTTTTTGGTGGTGGTGGTGGTGGTGGTGGTGGTGGTGGTGGTGGTGGTGGTGTGTGTGTGTTTGAAGAAACTCCACACTGTTTTCCATAGTGGTTGTACCATTTTGCATTCCCACCAACGGTGTACATAGGTCCCAGTTTCTCCATATCTTCACCAATAGTTATTGCCTTTGATTTTTTTGATAATAGCCATCCCCACAGGCGTGAGGCAATATCTCAATGTAGTTTTGATTTGCAGACATTGAATGTCTTTTCATTAACCTGTTTGCCATTGGTATGTCTTCTTTAGAGAAGTGTGTTCCAAATGCATTTTGTGTTCTTTTCTCTGGTTTAATAATATTCTAACATCAACCCCAAAGTTCACTACCCATTTCCCTTACATTTCAACTTACATAACGCACATACCTCTTTCAACTTACACGACACACAGTCTCACCTTGTTGCCAGTATCTTCATTTAACGTAGGTATTAATAAACAGATAAGCACTTGAATCAAAATTATTAATGATTTAGTTTCTATCCTACACTGTTTTATCATATATTAATGTTTTGTGCATCACAGTTTAGAGAACAAATAATTGTTTTCCAATAGCTTCTTTGACAAATGACATTGTATTTTTCTTCCTATACCAGTATGACAACAAATGAGTCTTTCTAATGTCAAGCTAACATTGAACAAACCCTACATTCATTCATCTGACTTGTACTTGGGGCAGGTTCCCGTGTGATAGACTGTAATTAGTGAATCTGCATTTTATTAGAATCTCTGAACCTTTATTCATATTTGATATTGACTTTTAGACTAAATCAGGAGACATAGAAAATTGTTCCAACCAAAATTGTAAAATAAAATACCAGTATTGTAAAATAAAATGGCAGAGCAGTAAAACAAAACTAAATCTAGGTCAGGATTACTTGAAAACACAGCTGACATGATTTGTTAGTGCACATGGTGGTTAAGGCTCTGTCTTTCATCCGGTCTAGCCAGGTTCAAGTCCCTTTTGGGCCCCTACCTAGCATGTGGATTTAGATTATTCAAACTCTCTGTATGAAAGTCCTCCTTATGGTGAAAATAATGGCAGTGTCTCCATGAAAAACACAAAGAAGATATCATATATATGGCATTATAGCAGCCATACGTTATACATTGTAAGTGCTATTTAAAGGTTGTATGTTTAACTCTAGGAAGACCTTTAACCAAACAAAACCTGTAGTAGATCCTATAGTGAGAGTAATGAATGTCTGTTAATATATAATAAATGTAGCCCACATTTCATATTCTTATGCAGGTTCTCCTGGCTCTGAAGACAAATACCAGTTAGTGGTAACTGGCAGAATGGTCTCCAGAGATTTGGCAATGGAAATGGACTTCTTATAACAGACTAAGTTGTAATCACGGGCATTTCCTGCCTCTTTACCATTGGACCTTCCTTTCCTTCACTGAAGGCAAATTGAAATCCACAGTGTGATTTTCATACATCTGCTTATAACCCCTCCTCAGGCATTCTATGCAAAGGTGGCTCCTAGATTTATGGCAGCTTTTAGGTTGAAGCATTTCCACAATGACTTTGGATGCAAATTTGTTTTATTCCCCCACAGAGGTGGCACAGTAGGCCACTGACATCATCACCTTCCTGCATGTCTCCACCATCACGATCAGCATCAACTCCAGGTGGGCAGAATAAAAAAAGCTCCCAAATATATTGAGGTTTCTGTTTTCCTCTGCTGGATCCTGTATATGCTGTATAAAATTCTTCTTATTTATATAAGGTCAAACACAGCAGCAAAGACATAACAAAACTCCAAAGATTTCAGATACCGTTCTGCTGAATTTCGTGACAAAATCACAGGTAATCCCTATGCAGCATTGTTAGTAGTCCTTTATGTTTCTTGTTTGGGCTCGTGATCTAGGCCTGTGGCTCTAAGTTTCATCCTGCACAGACACAATCAGCAGGTCACACATATTCACAAGAACAACCTTTCCCCAGCTACTTCCAGTTTTTTTTTTTTTGGGGGGGGGGTTGGTGTTGTAGATTTTTTAAAAAATTGGGGCGCCTGGGTGGCTCAGTCGGTTAAGCGTCTGACTTCGGCTCAGGTCATGATCTCACAGTCCATGAGTTCAAGACCCATGTCAGGCTCTGTGCTGACAGCTCAGAGCCTGGAGCCTGCTTCAGATTCTGTGTCTCCCTCTCTACCCCTCCCCTGCTCATGCTCTATCTCTCCCTGTCTCAAAAATAAATAAAAACATTAAAAAAAAATTTTTTTAATAAAAAAATTAAACACACACACACACAGGATATTAGTGCACAGCTCAGTGGAATTTCACAAACAGAATGTGACCCTGTACACAATGCCAACATCAAGAAACAGAATTCTGTCATTCCCTCAGAAACTCTTGTGCCCCCTTTAAAGTACTGTCCCCAAGGGGCACCTGGGTGGCTCAGTCGGTTAAGCGTTCAACTTCGGCTCAGGTCATGATCTCACGGTTTATGAGTTTGACCCCTGCATCAGGCTCTGTGCTGATAGCTCAGAGCCTGGAGCCTGCTTCGGATTCTGTGTCTCCCTCTCTCTCTGCCCCTCCTCTGCTCGTGCTCTGTTTCTCTCTGTCTCAAAAATAAATAAAACATTAAAAAAAAAATTAAAGTACTGTCCCCAAGGGTATACTTCTGCTGCATATATTCATAGATTTGGAGTTCTTGGGAATAAGTTTACAGCCATTCTAACATTTAAGAGATTAGATCACTGTTGCCTGTATTGCACTTTCTGTAAATGGAATCATATAGAATGAACTCTCTCATATTGGCCTTTTTTTCCTCAGTCTGTCTGATTTTGTGAATTTATCCATATAGTTGCATACAACCGGTTACTAGCAGTCATTAGCATTGCTGTATAGGACTCCATTATGTGAATATCACTTGATTGACTCATTCTACTATTAATGGGCAGGTGGGTAGTTTTGAGATGGGAGCTACTATGAGTAATGGAGTAGTGCTGGCATATAAACTCTAATAAGTCTTTTGGTAATACCTGTACAAATTTCTGTTCAGTAAATTTGTAAAGGTGGAATTGTTGAGACATAGGATTACATCTGGTCAGCTAAAGTAGATACTACCACACAGTTTTCTAAAATGTTTGTAGCAATTTTAACACCCACCAGCAGTGTATGAAAATCTTGGTTGACCCACAACCTTGCCAAAACGTGGTATTAACTCACTTCACTTTAGCTTTCTGGTCAGTGTATGGTGGTACCAAGTAGTGGTTTAATTTTAATTTTCCCAATTACTAAGGACATTGAACATGTTTTGGACATGTATTACCCATTGAGTAACCTCTTTTGAAGTTTCTGTTGGGAAGTTTTGTCCACTTTTTTCTATTGTGAGCCTGTAAGCGTTCTTTGTACTATACACAATCTCAATCTCTTCTCTCTCTCTCTCTCTCTCTCTCTCTCTCTCTCTCTCTCTCTGTCTCTCTCTCTCCCCCCCGTGTGTGTGTGTGTGTGTGTGTGTGTGTGTGTGTGTGTCTTTTGAGGAGAACCGGCTCTTAATTTTTATAATTTACTTTGTCATGTCACATATACAGTTAATATGCTTTGTGCTGTTTAAGAAATATGTTTTGTTTTTTTTTTAATTTTTTTTCAACGTTTATTTATTTTTGCAACAGAGAGAGACAGAGCATGAACGGGAGAGGGGCAGAGAGAGAGGGAGACACGGAATCGGAAACAGGCTCCAGGCTCTGAGCCATCAGCCCAGAGCCCGACGCGGGGCTCGAACTCACGGACCGCGAGATCGTGACCTGGCTGAAGTCGGACGCTCAACCGACTGCGCCAGCCAGGCGCCCCAAGAAATATGTTTTTATCTCAAGGCCACAGAATATTCTCTTCTTGTTTTTCTATAAATGTCATTATTTATCTCTAAAATTTAGAGGAGCAATCCATTCAGAATTGATTTGTTGTATGATATGGGTAGTTACTGCGGTTTTCTTTTACCTAATATGGCTAGCAAATTTCAGTTTATTCTGAAAATGTTGTATTACGCTCTCTCTATATGCTTTTGCTTATCGTAGCTTCACCCAGTTATGATCACCTCGTTCTTAGTGCTGACTTTTCCATGGAGTATACTGGAAAGTTTCTCCATTTACTCCTGTCTCTTGGAGTCTTTGGCAATCTCACAGGACCACAGAAGTTACTCTTGGTGTCAGATTCTTCAATGAGTCTCTTTGCTCAGAAGAATGATTGTTACTACTATTTAGAGGAAAATGTGCTAAATGACAGAATGGCCCCCAGGGATTTGGCAATAGCAGTCATCTTCTTATCACAGACGATAGTTGGAATCCTGGGCAATTTCTCTATTCTTCACCATTATGTCTTCCATTACCACACCGAAGGGAGTTTGAGACCCACAAAGTTGATCCTCAGGCACCTGATTATAGCCAACTCCTTGACGATGCTCTCAAAAGGTGTCCCCCAGACATTGGCAGCTTTTGGGCTGCAATATTTCCTCAATGAGTTTGGATGCAAACTTCTTTTGTATGTTCAGAGGGTGGGCAGGGGTATGTCCATTGGCAGCACCTGCCTCTTGAGTGTCTTCCAGACCATCATCATCAGCCCCATGAACTCCTGTTGGAAGGATCTTAAAACCAAAGCCCCAAAGTACATTGGCTTCTCCATTTCCCTCTGTTGGATCCAGTTCACGTTTGTAAATTTAATTTTTCCTATGTATGTGTTATATGCATCTAACAACTGGCACATGAAAAACATCACAAAGAAACGAGATTTGGGGTATTGTCTTTCTGTAGATACTGAGACAATCACAGTTTCTGTATATGCAGCATTGATAGTATTTCCTGAAGTTTCACTTTCTGGGCTCATGATCTGGACCAGCGGCTCCATGGTCTTCCTCCTGCACAGACACAAGCAGCGGGTCCAGCACATTCACAGCACTAATGTCTCCCCCAGATCCTCTGCCGAGTCCAGAGCCACCCAGAGCATCCTCGTCCTCGTGAGCACCTTTGTGTCTTTCCACTTCCTCTCCTCCGTCTTTCATGCTTGTATTGCTCTTATTTATAATCCCAGCTGGTGGCTGGTGAACACCGCTGCAGTAACTTCCGTGTGCTTTCCAGCCATCAGCCCATTTCTGCTCATGAGACAAGACTCCACAGTATGTAGGCTCTGCTTTTCCTGGATAAGGAACACAAAATCCCCTAATCTTACCAGAAAAAATGTGAATTGTATGTGTCTGAGCAATGCCCAGTTGTTTATTTACTCCTCCTGCTGGAAAAGTCAATACAGAACCTAGGAAGTAACCACATGACTCTCCAGCGTGGACACTAATGGGCATTGGTGGTTGCATCACCTGGTTGAAATGGGCCATATACTGGCAGACTGGAAGTGGACAAAGCTGTTTGGCCTCATTCTGATGCCTAGTATTCTGAATATAGCTGTCTTAATGAAATGCTATTGAGGGAAATTGAGTGGATTTGATTCTAGCTTCTTATCTGTTGATTGGAGTGCTTCACTCAGGAATGTACTCATAGAAAAATCTGCCAGAGTTTAATACTGTGAAAAAATGGGTTATCAATATTGTTGGAAGGCAATTCTCCATGGGTTTCTCATGTATGTGCATGTCTTGTGGGCAGAGGCATGGGGAACTTTTGTTCTGGACTGTTTTTCATAGACGTTTGTATAAAGAAGTACCTTTGAAGATAATAGATTAGTGTCATCCTTTGGAGCAGTGGACAGATTAATTTGTTGTACAGGAAAATAAGAAACTTTAGCCGAGAAATGGCAATGACAAAGGTGACAAGAATTTTGGAGATCTGAGGAGAAAGTTAAGCCTGAGAAGTCTGTTTGAACATCCAGTGGAGTCCTGAGACATAGTGAGTTAGAAAATCCTCAGAAGTTGAAAGGATATCTGAGTCCTCATCTAAGAGCTTCAGGAACCACACCATCTCCCCTCCACAATAAGTGCTGGTTGCCACCATTCTAGGAAAGTCATTCCTTGAAAACATCTTACTGGTGAGTTTAAACTAAAACTGGAAGTAGATGCCCAGAGCCAGCTTCAAATATGTCCCACTATAATAACCTTGCTTGAGATACGTATCAGCTTTTAATGTTGCATGGCTTCATTCTCAGACTGTGCTCAGAAAAAAGGTGATAGCCTGTCAGGTGCTATATGTCTGTGTGGAGGACACAGGATGCAGGTTTATTTGGAATCCTGTGCCCCAAAGCTGCAGGTTCCAAAGGATGAGAATTTAGCCCCAATTGAATGATGATGATCCTAGAAGAATCCTAGGATGAATGGTGATTCCAGGAGACTGAAATCAGTGGGGCATTAAGGAGAGAATGTGAAATGATATGTCCCATTCAAGAGGGAAATCCTCCTGCCCCAGACAAAAGTGTGGTTCAAAACCTTGTGAGCGAGACAATCCATTCCTGCCACAGAAAGGGCACACTCTCCCAAAACTTGAAGTCAAAAAGAAGATGAAACATATGTATCAGTTACTGCACCCCAGAAAACAAATAATTTGACTTTTTTTTTTTTGGCATAAAGCCAAGTCAAAGTCAGCTTCTGACAAAGGTGAAATCCACTTGAAATCAGATCTTTCTTTGTGAACAGTAGAGACTCTGAAATTCGGGAAAGTGAGACAGTCATTGGCCCAATCCCAGGGGAGAAGCTGTGCTTTTCATATGGACCGCAAATCTGGGAGGAGAGTCAGTTCAAGGAGTGATTCCTGTCCAGACAGTGCCCATGGATGGACACATGAGTGACTGCAGGGATTCTTCCTAACTTGAACAAAGGACAGTGATGAGTGTTACATGCAACGTCCAAAAACCCACCTCTGGGAGCCGGAGATCTCTCCTCTTTACAGGTTCGTTCCCTCTCTCTCTCTCTCTCTCTCTCTCTCTCTCTGTCTCTCATATCAACCCAGAACTTCACTGGGGATGTGAGATTGCACAAGCCTGGAATTGCAGTACAGATGCAGGAAAGAAAGAAGGTGAACTACTTTTCAAAAAAAAAAAAAAAATAGGAAGCTCCAGTGGTACCTTCATCTAATTCTCCAAGCTGGAAACTAGTAGCCATGTCTAGAGGTGGTAAAATAAAGGGTAAAGAGATTTTTTGTTAACGTCTATTATTGAGAGACAGAGAGACACAGAGCGTGAGCAGGGGAGGGGTAGAGAGAGAGAGGGAGACACAGAATCTGAAGCAGGCTCCAGGCTCTGAGCTGTCAGCACAGAGCCCAACACGGGGCTCCAACTCACGAACTGTGGGATCATGACCTGAGCCAAAGTCGGTCATCTAACCAACTGAGCCACCCAGGTGCCCCAAGGGTAAAGAGATTTTATAGGAAGGTGAAAAGAATGCCCTTTTGGGTGGAGTCCAGTACCTTTAGGATCTGACAGCAGCAGGAACTGGGGTGCAAGGACAGAAGTTCTATGAGCATAACATGAAGGCTCACACAGGTGCTTTCACAGGGAGAATCCCCTGTGGGACTCACAGGATCCCTGTGAAGAATGCAGGCAACATGCCATCTCCCAGGAGGAATCTGACAAGCAGGGAAGTTAACATTTGTCCAAAGTCGGGACTGAAAGTTCCGCTTCCAAACCCAACCAGCAGTCCCCCCACCCTCCACTGAACCTCATCCTCCCCCAGTGGAAAATATCCTGTGCTGACTCCCTTCTCCTGATTCCCGTGGATGGGCAGGCATAGTACGGGAGACATGTCCCAGCCTCTGTTTCCCTGCTGTGGCCTCCCTGTAAGGGCTCTGCTCCCGGAGAGAGTCAGGCCACAGCAGCTGACATCTCAGAGACTGGGGACCTGGGATCCCATTGAAAGAGATTAGGGGTGCTCCTTGGAGGTCCCAGGATGGATCAGGCAGACCCTTAACTTTGTGTCAGTTTTCCTGGGCTGCCATAACAAAATGCAATGTTCAGCGTGGCTTAAAAAAAAACAAAGCCAGGGGGCGCCTGGGTGGCACAGTCGGTTAAGCGTCCGACTTCAGCCAGGTCGCGATCTCGCGGTCCGTGAGTTCGAGCCCCGCGTCAGGCTCTGGGCTGATGGCCGATTCTGTGTCTCCCTCTCTCTCTGCCCCTCCCCGTTCATGCTCTGTCTCTCTCTGTCCCAAAAATAAATAAACGTTGAAAAAAAAAAAAAAGCCAGGTATTTTCTTCCACAGTTCAGGAGGCTGGAGGTCCAAGATACATCAGAAGGTGTATTTTCTTGTGACATCTCCTTGGCTTACAAATGGCCACTCTTTCATTGTGTCCTCCCTTAGTGTGTCTTCTGTGCATGCAGAGGTCTGGAGCCTCTCTGTGTCCCAGATTGCCTCTTATAATGACACCACTGAGAGTGGATCAGGGCTCACCCTAATGTACTCATTGTAACTCCGAGAACCTTCAAGGTTCTAACTCCAAATAGAGTCACCTTCTGATACTGGGATTTAGGACTTCAGCCTATCAATTTGAAAAGATCCAGTTTGGTCATTAACACTCAGCCTGCTGGACCCTTCAAACTCATGTCCTCCAGGAAAATCCACTTCCCTCCCCATACCAACAGCCTCAAGGTCTAAACCACTGTATAATCCACTCCAAGTCCCAAACTCACCTACTATCATCTAAGTCAAGAGTAATTGAGATTTGGGACATGATTCATCTTGAGGAAAACCTGTTTTCTTCCAGCTATAAACCTGTGAATGCAGACACATTGCCTGCTTCCAGAATACAATGGCATGGGGAGAGTTTAGATATTCCCATTCCAAAAGAAGGAATTGAAAAAAGGAAATGGGTCACCTGTCCCCAATAAGTAAAAAATCTAGGAGGGAAAATTCCCTCAGATTTCAAAGGCTTGAGGGTTATGCTCTTTGACCGGATGTATTGTCTTCTGGGCCTAGCGGGTGGTGTCCCTGCCATGCAGCTTCCCCTGGAATGCCATTGTCAGGTGGGAATCCTGTAGTACAGATAATCCTTAATATCCTTAATAGTATGCCCCTCCCTCCCCTCCTTCCCCCCCCCCCCCCCAGTATCTCCTGCTGTGTAAGGTGTTCCCTTCCCAGGCGTCCAGGTGTCCCTCCTCCTCTACCTCGGAATGTTCCATGTCATTACCTGTACTTCCGCTTTCTTGCGGCCATCCCATAGTTTACTCAGATGTTTTGCCTGGAAGAACCAGGCACAAGAGGGCCGGTATCCTATACAAATTGGGCCAGAAATGCATTTGACTCACAAGTGCAGATGGTGAGATCCACGTTTGTCACCGTTGGAGAGACAGGTGACAGATGAGCAAGGGCAGGAAGTTAGAATGATCCATGAGGAACGGGTTGGAGTTGGAGACATCGGCCTGAAGTCATGTTGGCTCTGTATGGACACCAATCGCCCCCCACACACGTTTCTACCTATGTGCACACGAGCGGTTCAGCACACACACGTACGTTTTCTTGGTGTTTGAGCTGAGAGGGCGTGAACACAGTGACACCCAGGAGCAGTGAGCATACCTAGTGTCCATGCCTTGGTCCGTGACACGGTTCCCCCACGGCAGCAGCCAGGGGCTGCCTGGAGAGACGGTGCAGCCTGGACTAGGACAGGACGTGTATGAAATCAGCCTGCAGAGCTGCGGTGCCGTAAGTCAGGACATGCGAAACAACTCGGTTTCTAAAAATGGGCTATGTCAGAGGGACACGGGAGTCACCCGAAAGAGCTCCTCATGGTCAAGTCGGAACACCTTGATTTTATTTTATTTAAAAAAAATTTTTTTAACATTTATTTATTTTGTAGAGACCGAGAGACAGAGCATGAGCAGGGGAGGGGCAGAGAGAGTGGGAGACACAGAATCCAAAGCAGGTTCCAGGCTCCGAGGCATCAGCACAGAGCCTGACCTGGGGCTCGAACTCACGAACCGTGAGATCATGACCTGATCAGAAGTCGGCCGCTCAACCGACTGAGCCACCCAGGCGCCCCATGAAGTTGGATGTTTAACCGACTGAGCTACCCAGGTGCCCCTATATTTATTTATTTTTGAGAGGGAGACAGAGTGCAAGCAGGGGAGGGGCAGAGAGAGAGGCAGACACAGAATCTGAAGCAGGCTCCAGCTCTGAGTTGTCAGCACAGAGCCTGATGCGGGGCTTGAACCCACAAACCGTGAGATCATGACCTGAGCCGAAGTCGGACACTTAACCGACTGAGCCACCCAGGCGCCCTGGAACACCTTGAATTTGAACAAGAGCAGAAGAGGCAGTATTGGTTGTAACTCAGTATCAAACAGATGTGGAGTCTAAACTGATAAGAGGAAATCACTGAATAAAATAATAGAGAAAAAAATATCTCCTTTTCTGAAGAGTCCACATAGTTTATGTAGAAATTTTATCCTTAAGAAAGTAGAACATATAATCCCTATTGTAAAGGTGGGCTGCACACAGTGACTTCTTTGCAATGAGTACAGTATGAAGAGGGGACACCTAAGTTTCGATGACGGGTCCTCATGCACATGACCTCATCCACAGATCGCAGCCCAAGAAAGGCAGGGCGGTCCTTAATCTGTCTGCCACAGTTTTCCAAGAAGTACACTTAACAGCTAGACCCCTGGCAGCAGCCCAGGAATCTGACATGTGACCGATGAAGGAAACAACTGCCTCTGATTTCGGATCTGCAGAGCTGGCATTGACACTAACCAGACCCAGTGGCCCAGGGGACACTGTTAGGGTGCAGCCTACCTAAACCATCAGTGAACAAGGATATACATTTAGGGCAGTCTTAGAATTGAAACTTCCTAGTGCCAGTGACTTTGGCTACACCATGGAAAGTTTAAACTTTCCTCTAAAGGGATAGGTCCCACTGATTCTTCTCAAGCTGACATGTTGCTGGGACCCATCTGTCTTCATTTGTGAATATTCACTTTCCAGGGGAGATGGAATTTTGGTGCCCTTCTTTCCTTGTCAGAAATGGGGTCCATGTTGACACTTTCCAAAACTGGTTTTTAAGAGTGAGTTTTGAGGAGAGCTCACTAAAAAGCTAATCACTACCTAAAAAAAAAAAAAGTACATGGTGTAGTTGTGTTGTGGAGGCACCAAACTCATATACCGGTGGGGCTTCTAGGTGGGATCTGCCTCCCTTTGCCAGAGGTTCCAAATGACAGACTCATTACTCTCAGAGACTTGTGCCATCTCCCAAACTCCAGGAGTCCAGGAGGGGCTAGACCCCCTTTTATGTGATGGGAAGCCAGAGACACAAGGATTTTTTCCCTTTACTCCTGGACGGATTAAGCACTGTGAACCTGTCCATAGATTTTCACTTTAATTTTCACTGGAAAATAGGACTCTCAATTTGGTGGGGTTATAACAGCCACACATATTGGCATAAGACAAGGTGATTAAGACTGAAGCCTCTAACTTGCCAACGGAGAGCACATCATGTATGTAATGAAACTTTATTTGGTGATCATGTCTCCTCTGACTCCTCTTTGCTGTGACAGTTTATCGGATTTTCCTCATTTTTGACGATCATAATAAAGACAAACCTTGAAGTATATGTTACCTGATATGTAATTGCTGTGCTACATTGTTAAAGTGTTTTATTTATTTATTTTTTAATTTTTTTTTCAACGTTTATTTATTTTTGGGACAGAGAGAGACAGAGCATGAACGGGGGAGGGGCAGAGAGAGAGGGAGACACAGAATCGGAAGCAGGCTCCAGGCTCTGAGCCATCAGCCCAGAGCCAGACGCGGGGCTCGAACTCCCGGACCGCGAGATCGTGACCTGGCTGAAGTCGGACGCTTAACTGACTGCGCCACCCAGGCACCCCTGTTAAAGTGTTTTAAATTCCATACAATATTTTTCACTTTTCTACTTCAATTTTATTTTCAATGTTATTCTTATTTTTGACTATTCTTATTTTCTATTTCAATTCCTGTAGGTCTTGAAAAACCTCTTACAAACAAGCATACATTTGACCCCTTTCCTTTGGAAGTTGTACCATTAGTATTTGTTGGTTTTTCAACCTAGAAATTTCAGCATGATTTGAAAAACTAATCAGTCTTTTTGGCTAGTACATTAAACTCTTTCTTGACAACGTAAGGACATTATGCATAAATCTCACAAGAGCCCATGATTTTATTGGTGATATATGTTTTTAAATACCTACAGCCCTTTAATACAGTACATAGATCAACAACACTATGCCCACTGATCACATTTCTGCATGCAGCGCAGACATCAATGCACAGAATATCATCAGACCCCCCAGAGCCCCCATCTGCTATCCCTCTCAGTCACCACTCATAGGGTAAACACTGCTGGGACCCCTACCAGCATAGGTTATTTTTGCCTGTTTGGTATTTCATATAGTAGAATAATAGAGCATGAACTCTTTTGTATTTGACTTTTTTCATTTCTTATGTTGTTTGGGAATTTATCCTTCCATATTATTCATCCCCTGGCATTGCTGTATAGGATTCCATTTTAGGAATATCAAACAACTAATCATTCCACTGTTACCAGGAGTGAATCTAGAGAAACAAGATTTAAGAAAGAGATTTCTGAATGGGGTCTTGAGTAGAAACCAAAGAATTAGATTTCAAATCCCTTTAGATTTATTTATTTATTTATTTAAAAAAATTTTTTTAACGTTTATTTATTTTTGAGACAGAGAGAGACAGAGCATGAACAGGGGAGGGGCAGAGAGACAGGGAGACACAGAATCTGAAACAGGCTCCAGGCTCTGAGCTGTCAGCACAGAGCCCGATGTGGGGCTCGAACTCACGGACCGCAAGATCATGACCTGAGCCGAAGTCGGACGCTTAACCGATCAAGCCACCCAGGCGCCCCCCTTTAGATTTAAAAATGCAAAACAGAGCACTGATAACCTATCATGGAATATCTTCCCTCAACACTCCTAATCAGCTACTTAAAAAAAAAAAAAAAAGTACCTGGGTGAACATGTGTTTGATACTTGCAAAGAATTTTGGAAAACTAATAAACATGATAACATTGGCTGGTTGCTCTTAATGTTGCTGGACAAAGAGGTCAAAGAAAAGGCTGAACTTGGGAATTTGAGGTTCCAGCTGAAGCTCCGTGTAAATAAATGACCCCAAGGCCTGTATGTGCCCTGAAGGAGACCCAAGCGTTTCCTTCCAGACCCCATCTTGCCAACGTGCCCAGGTCATCTTAACATAATAGAGAAAAATCCACTTTTTCCTGATCACAACACATGTCTGTTTACATTGTTAACACTCACTTGACCGTCTTCAAATATCAGTGGAAACAGTTTTTCGTTTTTGTACTTTCCTTTGCCCCGATGCTCTTTATCCTGGCCATTTCCTCATGAAAATATGGTAAACATGGTGATCTGCCTTCATAACATCATGTTTCAAATGAATCAGCGCCCTCTCTGTAAGGGTGTGACTTACCTACAAAACTCCTAACTGGCTCCCAGAGACACTACTGCCCAAGAATGGATTTTTCCTCCAGCCCCACCCAGGCTATTCATTATTTAGTGGGGACATTATATTCTTCAGTTGAAGGCATGACAAGGCCACATGCTAAGCCATATTCGTATAACTTTTCCCCAAATTTCATGCCAGGTGCATTTCTTGGAACTTTATTGCATTAGATTGAAAGCCACACACTGGAAGACTTCTCTGGAATATACAGATTGTTTCCAGACCAGGCATTTATTACTGCATATAAATTCTGAACTCCTCTACTGAAAGTATTAGGAAAACTTCGATTATATAAGTATTTACAAGATAATTATATTTCATTACAATGTTATTATGATTTATTGTTTATTTTGAAGAAACTGCTCAGCATGTCCTATTTATCATTCCCTTTTGACTCATAGTGTTATTTAGAACACTGAAGGGGTTGAATTAATTGGCAACTACGTTATACAAATACACACAGTTTACATATTTCTCCTAAGATGAGGGGATTTTATTATTTAAAAAAAAGTTTAAGTTTATTTGAGAGAGACAGAATTTTTATTTGAAAGAGAGAGAGTCTTAAGCAGGCTCCATGCTGATTCCACGACCCTGGTGTCATGACCTGAGCTAAAATCAAGAGTGAGATGCTCAGTGGACTGAACCACCCAGGCGCCCTGGATGAGGGGATTTTATATTCCTTGTCCATGCAAAGCACAGCCTGGGTACCCTGGAGTCATGGCTCATGAGCAGAAAGGGGCTGACAGTTGGGAAACATACAGACACAATTGCAGTGACATTCATGATGATCCAGCTGGGATTTTCAAAAAAAGCCACAACAACTTGAAAGATGGAGGAGAGGGTGTAAAAACAGACAAAGCTGCTCACCAGGAGAAGGATGGTTTTGGTGGCTCTGGACTCTGGGGAGGATGCAGAAGAAGCATTGGTTCTTCGAATATGTTGGACCTGCTGCTTGTGCCTGTACAGAAGGAAAACCATGGAGCTGCTGGCCCAGAGCATGAGCCCCAGACATAACACATCGGGGAATGATAACAACACTGCATTCAATGAGTCTCTAATTTTGTCATGACGAACCGAAGAACAGTATCCAAAATCCTTTTTGTTTGTGATGTTCTTATCACTCAGTGTGCTCGTTAAGTACATAGGGAAAATGATATTCACCAGCATTTGCAGGACCCAACACAGGAAAATAGAGGGGGAAATGTATTTGGGCGCTTTAACTTTAAGCGCTGCCCACCTGGAGTTCCCAGGGCTGATGGTGATGGCCTGGTAGACGCTCAAGATGCAGATGCTACCAATGGACACTCCCCTCCCCACTCTGTGAAGAAAGGCAAGAAGTTTGCATCCAATGTCACTGAGGAAATGTTCCCGCCCAAATGCTGCCATGGTCTGGGGGACTCCTTTGCAGAGTAGGGCTAAGAAGTTGGCTACAATCAGGTGCTTATGAATGAAATCTGTGGACCTCCACCTGTACTCAGTGAAGGAAAGGATGATATAATGACAAAGAAGTGAGAAATTGCCCAGGATTCCAACGGTAGTCTGTGTTAAGAAGATCAGACCGATGGCCAGATCCCTTTTGACCATTCTCTCTGGTCCCAGTCACTGACCATTGCCTCCTGGGCTAGAACTTCCTGCATGGAAGTATGAGACATAGGCAACATGTATCACGTCAGCTGAAATCCACTATGTTCTGCTTTCCATTCCTTGCCCCTTGGATATGCCTACTTGAGGTCTTCTTTTCACAGTAGCTTCTGAGGGCTGAATGTAGAACTTTTCCAGAGCCCTTATAATGTAAAATCACTCCTGTGAAGGCACTCACGTGAGAACTTCTTCATGCTCCACACATCTATGAGGTCAGCACTACTGTGGCTGTAGTTAAAAGATGAACAGAACAGACACACAGAGAGGTTAAGGATCTGTCCAAATCTGCTGCTTCAGGCTGTCATATTGGTCTGCTAGACAGCTAGTTAGCTGCGTCCATCTAACAATCCAGGTCTATAGTTACTTTTGACTTGACCCCTTGTAGTTGATTTTCGAGTGGTGGTATTATATAATTTTCATTACAAGTTCCCATATACTTGTAAAGATTTATTTGATGGAACACTATCAATTCTGGGTCAAGCCTTAAATATCTTAGTGAATGTCATGCACTGCAGGCAGTAGTTTACTGCAGGAAGCTGTCCTGTAACTAGTTACATGTAGTGGATGTAAGAGGAGGTTGGTACTAGGAAGGCAGAAGAAAGACTAATTTGATTTTATGTCAAGAACCCAAGTGTAATGGCAGCAATCACAGGAATTGTTGAATGATCACATGTGATGCCATAAACTTTGGAACATAAAACACTAATGCGTGATAAAATAGTGTAAGGCAGAAGCTAAATTATTAATTTCAGATGATACAATTATTAATACCTGAGTTAAGACTACTAACAACTAAGATTTGTGAATGATACTAGCATAAAAGATATTAGCGCAAAATGGCATTTGCAAGGTGTGTATTGTTATGTAGTTTATAAATCAAAGTACTAGGTTTGTGTGTTGATAGCAGAATAATTTTTAAATGGGTGGAAAGAAGATGATAGGAACCTGAGAACTGCTACCCGGAACTTAAAATTATGCCAACTGTTCCTTACCTGTTCACTTCCTAACTTTCAGAATGAATGTAGTTACACTATAATCAACAGCTTATGGATGTTTTCAGTGGAGACTCAGTTACTGTCCCCAGTAATTGCATGGTACATCCAAAGGTAGAGGAAACCTTTCAGTTCAAGCCATTATCATTTGGATACACTTTCTGCACAGGATCATATGATTCCTGTAAACTCATCATACTCTTTACTGCAAGCATGGAGGTGTTACAGATGCACCTCTAGTAACCCTGAAATTTTAGTCTATGAATCCTATAATGTAGACTGCACAACAAATTGATTTTACAACTCAGTCTGTAAGGACTTAAAAATCTGTGTATTATTACTTGCATTAAATGCCAAGAAATCACTATGAACAGAGATGGCATTTGTTGCATCAGGAGCCATCAGCGATTGGTGAAGGGCTAGGACCCCATCTCCTCTTAACTAGCTCAGCTCAAGCCTCAGAATTATTCCACCTTCCTGCATGGCTTTCACAATGAACCAGCTAATATAAAGAAGATTTCTGATATGATCACTCACCCAGACTCTTGATACAGACACTGCCTCTCAGACTGAAAGAGAAATCCTCACCGGCTCCTTCCTGCTTCCAGGGGGGGCTCAGTGTGAAGGGCATGGAAGACAGTCCATGTGTGGGAGGGGGGCAGCCAGACACTGTGATATAGCTTTGTGATCCTGTGAGGTCACCTCCCTCACAACTGCAATTATTTCATTTGTAGCCACACTGGGAATACAGTCTTGGGAGCTGAAGATGTTTCTCAAAAATTTCCCCAGTTGTTAATTACAAAAAATGGTTATGAGTTTCTAGTTAGAACTGTGTAAGGAGACTGAGTATTTGTGAGAAGACTTTTTCCCACTTGATCCCTGTAGGTAGACAGCATCTCCTATGAAGGACATCAGGAAATACTGAGTGCTGACATGTGAGGGATTAGTGGGGAAGGATGTGTATCTCCCTGGGTTCTTCACTTCCCAGGGAAGTTCCTCTACCCGGAAACTAGTACTTTCCTAGTCTTCAGACCACTGAACTGAACCATCAATTAAGGTTATTTGTACAGAAACAAAATGACACAAAAATACCTGGGAAGAACATGCAGGGATACAAGTAAAAGGAAGTCCATGATGTAAATAAATTATTATTGAAATCACTTCACAATCGAAGTTAGTGAATTTGGACTTGTTTGAATAATTCAGTGCCAATTCACATGAAAATTATGTAGGAAAATGTGCTTTACCCACTACCTCACTCCCACTACCCTCGCTGGCCCCGACTGCCTGTGCCTCTTTCACCTCTTTCACAGTCTCCTCCAGGTTTCCTCTCCTAACATTCTGTATCTAGCTTGTATCGCACTGTCTTCCTCCAAGGCCCAACTGCCCCACATAAAAATAACCTCCTTGCTCCTCTCCCACCATGATTTTAACCCCTTCGAGACATTGTCCCATGCGAATTCCACCAACTGCAGGCCACTAAGAACTTCGGTACAAAGTGCCCATCCAATCACGTGGTGAAATCTAATCCCCAGTGTGATGGCGTTTGGATATGGGGCTTTGGGAGATGCATAAATCATGAGGATGGGCTCTCCTGAATAAGAACACTGACCTTGTAAAAATGACTCCACAGAGTTCACTAGCCCCTTCCACCAGGAGAGTACACAGCTATAGGATGGCCATCTATGAGCCAGAAGTGGGTGGGCACGGGAAATGGTAGTTCTTAAAATCTCTCAGGTGATGGTAACAGAAGCTAGCGTCGAGGACCAGTTAACCAAACGCTGCCTCTCAAAGTGTTATGTGTATGTGAATCTGCATTTCTGTTGAAACAGAGTCTACAGAAGAACCCTACTCTAAGAGATTGAGATACAGCTGCGGTCCGGCCGATGAATTAGCATTTTCTTTCTTTTTTTTTAAACGTTTATTTATTTTTGGGACAGAGAGAGAGAGAGACAGAGCATGAACGGGGGAGGGGCAGAGACAGAGGGAGACACAGAATCGGAAACAGGCTCCAGGCTCTGAGCCATCAGCCCAGAGCCCGACGCGGGGCTCGAACTCACGGACCGCGAGATCGTGACCTGGCTGAAGTCGGACGCTTAACCGACTGCGCCACCCAGGCGCCCCTGAATTAGCATTTTCAACAGAGTCTCTGGTGGTGCTGCTGCTTCTCTCCCCAGAACTCTGTTTCCACAGCATCCCCCACCCAATCCCCCTTTCGGTAGCACTAGAGAGAGCAAGCAGAGCACACCTGACCCTCTTACTCGCTAACGTCCCATCTCAACACAGATGCTGTGGGTTCCTCACATGTAGCAAATGAAGAGGAAGGAACGGAACCAGCACAGGTGATTCCCGTGGGGACGGAGGGGCTGCTAGAGGGAAAGTCTGAGGACCGTCCAGGGAAGCCTGAGCGCGCAGGTGCACGTGGCAGGTCCCAGGAGGGGGTTGGCCTTCTTGGGCGGCCTCTGCGCAGGCGCGAGCTCTGGGATGGCGTGTGGGCGTGGCTACGGCCTCGTTGCGCCTGCGCGCATGGCCGGCAGGGTCAGGTGACCGTTGAGCTCCAGCAGACGCCCTTGGCCCTTCCAGGTGAGGACCTGGCTCAGAGCTGCGGCTTCTCCTCCTGGAAGGTTAGTTCTCAGGGAGTGTGGGCTGGCGGCGGCCTGGGGGTGCTTGCGGGCCCCAGGGAGGGACGGGACCGCGTGCTGAGGGCAGCTCGGCTCTGGGCTCACGGCTGCCCGGAGCCTGCCCGCGACAGGCGTGTGTCAGGGTCGCGTGAGAGGGACAGATTCGCACTAGAGTCTGGTGGCGCTTTTAACCGTGTGTCTTCGGTGACGGGTCCCAGTACCCGGTGCTGCCCTCGAGGGCGTCTAGGTTGGAATGGAGGAAGGATTTGGCTTCCCGGGTGGGGGTGGGGTTGAGGGGAGTTGCGATGTTCGCCCTTTGGTGCGCACGCACGAGGTCCTGGGCTGCAAGGGAGTGGAATGAGCGAGTTCCAGGACCCACCTGGAGAGGAGAGAGCGCGTGTTAGTGCCAAGGTGGGTTTTGTGCTTCCATTTGTGGCTGCAGGTAGAGCGGAATATGAGCCCTGGTCAGTGAGCTTGGGTTGCAATGATCTCGTGGGGGTGGTCGAGGGGTCCAGATGTTGGGGGATCAGGTGTGGTCTGGAGGTCCCGAGCGTGACGGGGGCAGGATGGGCCGGAGACTTGGGCATAATGCGAGGTGGGTGAGGGGGCGCGTGTAGCAGGACCAGCACTGTTGGGAGGCCTCCTCAGCTGCGGTCTGGTTGTGTGCGGGGCTGAGCCAGCCCGGTGTCCAGGCGCCGGCGCAAGTGTGGGCCGAGCACCGAGCACGCCGCTTCTAGCGCTCGTGATCCACGTGGCAGGTGCAAGCGCTCGGGGCCCAGACGCCGCCGGAGGAGAGCCGAGCTGCCAGCCATGTGCAGAGGCCGGACCTCCAGGGCCTCCACGGGGCCACCTCGCTTGACTCGTGTCTTCACCTGGACCCGCGTGCTTCTGGAGGAGTGGCGCGATGTCCCGGCATAAGTCTTGAAAATTGCACTGCACGTTGCCCGCCGATTCTTCTCCCGGTCGGATTTGTCTCAGAGATTCTCGCAGCGCACACGTGAAGGTAGTTTCATCCCAGATTTGTTTGAACACGAACAAGTGGAAGTATTTTAAACGGGCAACGATAGATGTTTGAATTATGTGTGTAAGGGACTGAAGCCTTTGGAACTGTTACCTGAAATGTATATTCGATGACATACAAAGATATCTGTAACCCATATAAATAAAAGCGGTTATAACACAGCCTTTAGAGAGTGTCAGCTTATTGTCACCTTTTGAGTGCAATATATGTATCCTAGGGGTGTCAGGTATGGAAAATAACGTGTGAAGGTATCGTATATTCACATCACAAGTTTGAGCGTGCATTTCACTCTGTTATAGGACCACAGGCTTTTTTTTTTTTTAATTTAGTGATAGTTTCTCGTGTTAATAAAGTGTATTGGTTAAGATAAAATTGTAAAATCATCATTTCAGTTTTCCCATGTAGTTTTTTAAAGATTTGTTTACTTTTTAAAGTTTGTTTATTTA